CAATTTAATCTTTGCTAGTTTCAAAGCTCTATGTCTGCAATAAACATGAATTGAACTCCATTTAATTCATATAATAAAACATACACAATATATAGAATACTAATAAGTTTACAGCAAGTATGGCAAAAAACATCCATTAATTACTCTCAAAAAATTGACATGTGTTTGCTACCAAAATATTTTTCAAGTAGCTCATAAAAGACACAGGTGTTCTTTCCCTTAGAAACAGGTAACAGCTGGTATTGGGAACTAGTACATTTCTATCTTATTTGTACCAGTAGCATACACTATGGACTATATGCCAGAGAACTCACATTCAGCTCTAATTACTAGTGATGTGTTGCACATATGCTGGGAAAGGAGAACACGGTGTTCTAATAACCTTTGTTAGTAAGTGTGCAACAATATTACCATACTGGTATTTTAAACAGTATACTAAAAAAATTCCTCAAAGTACAAAAAAGAGTCACTAACATACAATCGTGTTACCTTTTGCAAAAATATGAAGTAAAAATTGTATGCACAAGTAGTACTAATTCCAGCATAGCTTTTTTAAAAATATATGTGTGTGTATATAAATACACATATATATTTTAAAAGAGTATGCAGCTAAAATTACTTTAAAAATTCCTTAACAATATCTAATAATGTACCTTTCAGATGGTACACTGTGATTGTAAATTCCAACTTCAAAGATCTTTTCATTAAATCATATTCAGTGTATGTTATGTGTTTTCTTGTTCAAATAGGTTATCAATTAGATTTCCACAGAGGTAAGAAAAAATAATAATAAATCATTTTGATTGTCTGTATGCACACCATCCTTCATATCCAAGTGTGCACCTGGATGCGAAGCACCAAAATGTATTGCTATCAGAACAAGAAGGGGGGGGAAGGGAGTCACAGAAATCTTGTGAATTTTATAAAGAGATGCTAAAGCAATACAGTATCCAAGAAAGAGCGAAGTACAGTGGAGGTTGAAGCTGCAGACTGGGAGACAGAAACAAAGGAGACTCTTCTTACACAAACTTTCTTAAGGGTATTGGAGGCTTTTGCATTTCTTACCTGCTCTTGCAAAGTATGATTCTTCTCTTGCAGCTGGTTAAGAACTGCAGTTTCTCCTTCCCCTGCTTGAATTTTCGCATACAAGTCCTCTCTTTCTTTTTCTAACATGGTGATGTTCTCTTTACTCTTTTGTAGCAAGGCCTCAAGGTTTTGAATTTTTTGGTCCTTATCTCCTATCTGACGCAGTACTTGTTCCAAATCATTCTAAAAATGCATTAAATAGTTTCTTTAAGTATAGGGACGTTAAAAGTTATTCCTGATGCATGAAATGTTAGATATCGAATTTCACGAATACTTACTACATATTCTATTTTGAAATTATAAATTCCTTTAATGTTATTTAATTAAAAAAGATAATGTTATACATTAGGAAATCATGCAGCTTACATGTGGCAATGCATCGGCAATATTAACTGCTGCAGTATACTAGTTTGAAAAGAATGTGTGTTTTTTGTTTTTTTTTACCTGGGCTTCTCGGAGTTTTGCTGTAGTGCTTTGCTGAAGAGTTTGTTGCTCCTGATGCTGCTGTTTTGCTTTATCTAACTGATGCTGTAATTCGGTGCAATTTGCTGCTTTTTCCTTTAGCTTAAAAAAACAGTCACGGACTGTTGACTGAAAACTGACAAGCACAATTCAGTAGTTCAATAACATTTATCATTTACTCTAATACTGAAAGACTACACTAAACAATTTAACATTTCAAACAGATGTAAAAGTAGTAATTTGTCATACCAATTCTATAGCAAAGAACGAAGCACTGAAGTACTTCTCAACACTGACAGTAGGCAAATTCTAAATAACAAAAATTATCTCAAGTGTCAGACATGCATTATTTTACATCTTAACACCAAACTGTTAAAGGAGATTTAGTCTTTTTTCCTATGGATAAGTTGGTCAAAGTAATTTATATTCATAAAGTATACTAAGTGCTAATTATCATTAGCAGTTTTAGTAGCAACTTAGGGCTGGTCCACTCTACAGACTTACACTGGTATAACTACGGGTACGTCTTCACTTACCGGAGGGTCCGGCGGCAGGCAATCGATGTTCTGGGATCGATCCCGGAAGTGCTCGCCGTCGACGCCGGTACTCCAGCTCACCGAGAGGAGTACGCGGCATCGACGGGGGAGCCTCCGTGCCGCGTCTGGACCCACGGTAAGTTCGGACTAAGGTACTTCGAATTCAGCTACGTTATTAACGTAGCTGAATTTGCGTACCTTAGTCCGAAGTGGGGGCTTAGTGGGGAACAGGCCTCTGTCGCTCAGAGGTGTGAAAAATCCACACCCCTGAACGACGTAGTTATACAGACCTAATCCCCGGTTTAGACAGCGCTATGTCAGTGGGAGACCTTCTTCCGTCAGCATAGCTACTGCCTCTAAGGGAGGTGGATTAACTACGCCGATGGGACAGCTCTTTCCCATCAGCATAGAGCATCTTCATTAAAGCGCTGCAGTAGCGCAGCTGCATCGATGCAGTTGTGCTGATGCAGCGTTTTAAGTATACACCTGCCCTTATGCTCTACTTACCTTAACAGACTTTCTGGAGCCAACATGCAAAGCATTGCACAGTGTTAGCTGTATGACTGTCATTAAAGTCTAAGAGTGGAGGTGTTTGCTAAACTGTAGTGTAAAACTTTGAAAATGTACCACTCTTAGATATTTGGCACATCTGCATATAGCTAATATAAACAGGTCAACAACAAATATTTGTTACTAAGGTAGAGCCCTATTGCAAAAAAAACCTTGACCTATTAATAGAGTAGTAAAATTACTGTTTTCTGACACCAATTCCCCCCTACACATTATTCACTATAATCACGTTATGTCAATTACTTCTTCAATTGGACCCTGATCACATAAAAATATATGCATACACAAAACTCTGCTATGCACGGCATAAGTTTCTGTGCATGGGGATCTTTTTGCATGCTCAGACCCTTAGCCTCAAAGTCCTCAAGTGCCTGGGCTATATCCTTTATTTATCTGTAAAGCACCTTGCACATTTAGGCTCTAGGCAAGGAAATAATTCTTAGCCTTCTAAAAACAAAAAAGTAACTGTCCTATAGACTATTTTGCCAAAAGAAAAATAGTGGATTTTTTTTAATGAGGATTTTTTAAAAAATGCAATTATGTTTTAACAAACTTAGTCAAAGCTGTCAGTTGGACACAAACTCTGTAAACACCAACATGAGAAGTAGAATACACAAACCATCACTACAACAAAGGTGAAATCTGATCACGTGTATCACTCCTACCTCCTCTTCAGCACGAGAAAGTTTTAACTGCAGATCAGCCACCTGCTGTTCCTTGTCCATCAGTTTTTCACTAGAGAGTTGTCTCTGTTCTTTAAGTCGACCATGTGCTTCCCCTAGCTGGCGTTCTGTCTCCAGAAGTTTACTGTGCAACTGGAAGAAAATACTGGTCTCAGTTTTCCAGCCACTACACTGTACTTCAGACTCATTATCCACACAATATAGTAATTTTCATCATGCTTTTAATCACACAAGAATGGTATGACTAAAACATCTTGGGAATTATTCTCATATACCTGAGCTAAATCACACCAGCCATGTGCACATGCAGGAACATAGGCTCAAAAGGGGTGGTATGTTCAGAAGGTGGGAAGTGAGGCTATGAAGAAGCAGCCTCACCCCTTTATAGAAGCCCCTCTATATGAGCTATGTGGCCTTACACAGAGAAAAACCAGGATTAAATTCCATCCCCCACCAAATGCATAAAATATTTATCATGTAAAATAGCAATGGCTGAACCAACATCTTACATAGAGCTCAGAGTAAATCAGCATTCCCATGCTCTCCAATGGCCCATGCTCTAAGCTTTTACTGGCTACACTAGTTCCAATATCATGGTGTTCTGCATTATCTAGGCGAGTGGGACTTGTGTTTTCAGCTCACCATGAGCGCCTGGCATTCCTCCACTACAAGGGAGGCTGATGTATGGACTCTGTCTATAAGATGTGCTAGATCTTTAGGAGTGTCCTGTGGTCACATGCCCTTTTGTAGCTTACTCCCCAGCTCCTTCCATAGGACTTGTAACCCACTCTCTTGGATCGGCTGATGCATGGGAAACTTCCCCGGAGAGTACAAAGTAAGGACCTAGGCAAATTAGAGGATTGGGCCAAAAGAAATCTGGTTCAACAAGGACAAGTGCAGAGTCCTGCACTAAGGACAGAAGAATCCCATGCACTGCTACAGACTAGGGACCGAATGGCTAGGCAGCAGTTCTGCAGAAAAGGACCTAGGGGTTACAGTGGACGAGAAGCTGGATATGAGTTGACAGTGTGCCCTTGTTGCCAAGAATGCTAATGGCATTTTGGGCTGTATAAGTAGGAGCATTGCCAGTAGATCGAGGGACATGATCATTCCCCTCTATTCGGCATTGGTGAGACCTCATCTGGAGTAGTGTTTCCAGTTTTGGTCCCCACACTACAAGAAGGATGTGGAAAAATTGGAAAGAGTCCAGTGGAAGGCAACAAAAATGATTAGGGGGCTGGAGCACATGACTTATGAGGAGAGGCTGAGAGAACTGGGATTGTTTAGTCTGCAGAAAAGAAGAATGAGGGGGGATTTGATAGCTGCTTTCAACTACCTGAAAGGGGGTTCCAAAGAGGATGGATCTAGACTGTTCTCAGTGGTAGCAGATGACAGAACAAGGAGTAATGATCTCAAGTTGCAGT